GGGTGGAGGAAAGCAATCAATGATACACGAAAGAGAGAAGAAAGGAGGAGTCTAAGAACGAACCAGTGGGAGTGGCGTAAGTGGATGGGACTTCGAAATACGCCTGAAGAAGGGAAGAAAGGAAGGGGGTTAAGATGTAAACCCTTTAGGAAAATTAAGAAAATGAGGAAACGGTGAAATAAAAATAAATATCATATAAAACTGTAATAAAAATAAGAGTAACAATAATAAAATTTGAAAGCCATATTTAGGAAAGAAGGTGTAAAAGGGAAATAAAATTAAGAGACAACATGACGAGGTTAAATAAAATAATATAAAATTAAAAGAAAATGAAATGAAACTGAACAGGAAGGGAAAGGCCATAAGCGGAAGGAAGAGGGAAGAAATAAGTTTGTGGAATGGGAAAAAAGGGAATACAACCCGAAACGGATACAAGAGGGCGGTAATAAGGGCTAAGTTAGAGAAACGGTTGCTGGCTTCTCACCGTGGCGGCCCGGGTTCGATCTTGGATCTGGTCAAGTGGGATTTTTGGCGGACAAAGTGGCACTGGAGCGTTTATTTTTCGAGTACTTCGGTTTCCTCTGCCAATCTTCATTCCACCAAATTCTCCATCATCATAATCACCCGGGCAGGCTACAATAGGCCAATCAGTGGCCGCAGTGCCGAGTGGACCCAGTTGGACTCCACCCACCACTAAGCGAATTAAAAAAATATTAGAGAAACGGTTCGAATGAAACTTTCTTTGCTACTTCAGAAAGTACAAAAGATGTTTTCGGGACTTGATCGTGTAGAGTTCACCTCTCCAGGTCATGTTACCGGGATAGATTTCGATCTATCACTTCCGGATCTGGCGAAGAGGACGCTGATGTCCTGACGCTGGATGCGGTGTATAGGTTAGTGCTGTGTCCCTCCACAGCTGACTTCTCCGGATGATACAGACGGATACACCGTACCACCTACTCAGTATTGACGCTAAACTTAAAAAAACAAAAAAAAAACATACCTAATGATTTTATGAACGTCAGTTGAATCAATAATGTTCCTTCAGAAAGTATGACATGGCAATGAAATAAAGAAATATCCACACACTGCTTCACGCTGGACTTAATGGAACAGCCGGTATGTCCATTGCGGCCCTAACAAGACTCACAGGGGATGCTGTACACTTCGGTACCGTCTCCTTCAGGTTATCTCTTACAGAGCAAAGAGAGCTATACATCTTCCTCGGCGTAGGGCAACCGGCTTCATGTCGTGCCAGGACAACATCCTCCTGTTGCTACTGAAGGTCGTACCGACGTCTTCTCTGCCAGTAACTCCCTACTGTCATTTTCTTGTCATTCTCTCTGTTTCTTCATTAATAAAGTTTCTTAAGCCAGAAATTTGCATGATAATCTTTAATTCATACGAAATGATCCAATTAAATACTCCACAATGTGAGTAAAATTTTGGCTTATTTCGATTATCATTGTATTCTTACCTAACTGTCGTTCAGCTTTCTCGAATTTATGTGAAAAAGCCTGCTGCAGAAGTAGACAGTGTTACATAATGTTATTTGGTAGTGAACCTAGCTTTCAGTGCAGACAGTGACAGGCAACTCGGATACTGTGGGAGAGGTCATTCGCACCTAAAGTAATGACCTACTTCGAGTAGGGTTACCGACCGCGAGCCGATCTGTCACGTGATAACTTTGTGGCGTCACAGCGAGTACAGTGAAAGTGAAGCCGACGGAATAACTTTTTAAAAATTCTTTGTAGTAAAAAAGTACAATGACTTCAGTTTATTCCTTTACTTTTTTTCTTACCAGTCATATTCGCCGACGCAGTTTCGTTTCTAGTCACTAGAATAGGGGCATTCTCCCAGAATTATATAAATTTTGAGTTCATATTTCTTACATGTCATTTTTCATTTTCTCCTAATTAATTACACTAATGAAAATGTTCTTACTTATGTACTTGTATATGTTAGAGTCTTTCTATTACAGATGTTTTGAAAATGTGGCACAGTTCAGATATTTGGAAACAGCGATAACAGATCGAAACCTGATTCAGGAGGAAATTAAGAGGCGATTGAACTCGGGCAATGCTTGCTACCATTCAACCCAGAACCTTTTGTCTTCTCGTCTGTTGTCCAAAAACATAAAAATTAGAATATACAAAATTATAATTTTGCCTGTGGTTCTGTATGGGTGTGAAACTTGCTCTCTGACATTAAGGGAGGAACAGAGACTGAGGGTGTTTGAGAACAGGGTGTTGAGNAGACCACAGGGAAGACCAAGGCGTAGGTGGGTGGACAATATTAGAATGGATCTTAGAGAGATAGGATGGGATGGTATGGATTGCATAGATCTGGCTCAGGATAGAGACCAGTGGAGGGCTCTTGTGAACACGGTGATGAGCCTTCGGATTCCATAAAATGCTGGGAAATTCTTGAGTAGCTGCAGAATTGGCGGCTCCTCAGGAAGGGCTCAGCTCTATGAGTAAGTAAGCGTCTTTCTATTATTTTTTGTTTACCATATAAGCGAAACAAATATTTTATTTTTAGAATGACGATTTATATAAAAATACTTTGTTGTATATAATGTTTTCATAACACTTTTATTCATTTCACATATAACATAGCTACCCAACTGAACAATTGACACTGAATAGCACAAACTTTAATATTGTGACATGACGGCTGAAAGCCAGAATAATGGAACAGGATGAGGCGGTCATTGCTAGGCAACGGCGCGGTAAACATTACCTCAGCAGCGAATAAACGTGCAACAATAGAGGAAATTTGTAAGCAATGTTATGTGTGCGGCGGAAACGTGTTAACCCAGATGTTGCCTAGCAATGGTCTCTTCATGTTCTTTTGTTCCGGCTTTCTGCCGTCATGTCACAATATTAACCTCCATGTCTATTCCTCTTTATGTGACCTAATTATTTCCCTGCTCCTTCCATTTATATCAGGATACGTCATTACATTCTGATCTCGTGACTTAGAGATACAATTTATTTATAGAAGTGAAATATCACATTCTCTCCATGAAATCCACTCGAGTATTTTGTTTTTTCTTGTAATTAAATATCCTCATATCGTGGCAGATACCTTTATTAAATTTTGATATTTTCTTCAGCATGGACTTTCGGAGCAGCTGAAAATATGTTAAAATGGCCATGATACTTAACGGTGAAAGTCTTAATTTTTTATAAATATTGTGTTTCTGGACATCCATCTTCCTGTTTCTATTTAAAACACAACGTTTCCGAGACTCGATTCTGTGTTCATCTTCAGGTGGGATCCATTCAGTTTGGCTCAATTGGTAGAGCTATAACAACAATGAAAATGTTGATGAACGTAGGTGCTAGCCCTCATGTATGTGGAGCTATTCATGTTTTTAATATTTGACCTAACTCTCGCAGATGGTTTTTGCTGTGCTTAGTTTATATACATATGTGTTCGTGCTGATATCCGGAGATAGGGAATATCTCTCTCTATTGGACTCAACTGAATAGGTCCCACCTGAAGACGGAGACAGAATTCAGCCTCCGAAACTTTGCGCGTTTTAAACGAAAGACAAGATGATGGATAACATTCAGAAACAGTAATTGTATTAATATACCATCGCCACGAATTTTTACTTATTTTTTTGTTGACATTTTACTTCGGGAGCGTGCTGTAAATACGTAATATTGACTGTCTGCAGTACAAGGATTTAAAATCATAATAAATTCGTGCAATAGAAACACATGATTCTCATAAGAGAGTGGTAAAAAGGCTAAAAAGAAGGTAAAACTATCCTGTAACAGGCAATGAAGTCCCATAGGGCTGTGAGACGTCGAGGCTCCCACATATTCTAGTCAGTCGGCTCACAGATGGCGTTAAGGTTGTCAGCCTTACGCGCCGGCCGCCCTTTACCCCCCCAGGAAGGTTCCTGGTACTCATTTCTCTTAGAGGCTGACTTGACTCCAAGCCCATTTGGCGGCTGGAAGGATTAGATGAATTTAAAAAATCCAGTGATCTCATCAGGAATCGAATCCGTGAGCTTCCGGCTTGTGGAATATTGCCTCAACAAAACTACGCTACCGCGTGCCCCAAGTAACAATGGATATACACTGATATAATAGAAAAGTAAGTAAAGTAAAGGTAGAGGCCGCGTCATAGCTCAAGCGGTTAGTCGCTGGCTTCCCACCGCGGTGGCCCGGGTTCGATCCCGGGTCTGGTCAAGTGGGATTTGTGGTGGATAAAGTGGCGCTGGGGCGGGCTTTCTTCGAGTACTTCGGTTTCCCCTGCTAATCGTCGTTCCACCAAATTCTCCATCATCATAATCACCCGGGGCAGGCCACAGTAGGCCGATCAGTGGCCGCCGTGCCGAGTGGACCCAGTTGGACTCCGCCCCCACTAAGCGAATTAAAAAAAAAGTAAAGGTAACCCTGTAGCAGGCCGTGGAGGCCTATAGGGTTGTGAGATGTTGAGGTTCCCACATTTTCTAGACAATCGGTTCATAGATGGCGGTAAGGTTGTCAGCCTTACGCGCCGGCCGCCTTTTACCCTCAAGAATATTCCAGGAATATTCCCGGTAATCATTTCTGTTAGAGGCTGAGTCGACCCAGGGGCCATAGTGCGGCTGGAAGAATTAGGTAAATTGAAAAATTCCACCTCATCGAACGCGCGACCTTCCGGCTTGTAGCATAGTGTCTCAACCAACTACGCTACCATGTGCCCCATGTATCAGTGCATATACACTAATATAATAGAAAAATTCCGTCTAGAAATCTGTTTAATTTGCACCTCACTGTTACTAAAATGTTCAGTAGTCATGATATGGTTTCACATCCCAGTCTGTTTTTCATTATGACGTTGTTTTTGCTTCAGTCTTTTCAGTAATTAAGAAATACAGTCTTCGTTCTATCAAGTAAATTTTCTCGGAATCTTAATACATAACATAAAGACGCATTTCCTACACACTTTTAAATATTTGTGTGCTATTCTAATGAATGTACTTATTGTGTTTGCAGGAATTATGACCCTTACGAAAACTCCTTGTGAATTGGACACGATGAGCCTCTTCCAGGACCTGAAGTTGAAGCGCCGAAAGGTGGACTCCAGGTGCAGCAGTGATGGTCAGTAAATTTTGGAAATATGATGCTATATGAACATCGCGATTAGTCATGGATTACATGTCATTAAATCCGGGCCCTGGTAATCACATATATAAGCATGTGTTTATCAGTATCCAGAAAGCACATTCCACCCGTAAACCCCTAATTATGGTGCTGTGGTCTTCAGTTTGCTTTGAAATTTATAGAGGGAGCAATCACCCCATAAATCAATAGCCAGGACTCCGCCACAACTGCGCAGGTTATCTTCCTCTGACGCCAACCTGTTGACTTTCTCTTCGATACTGTATTGCTTTATCACACTCCACTCTCTACCCCCTGCCCCTTTCAGCAAAGTTTCTCACCACCGCATGGTTGTTACCCTATAACAATGACAAGTCTGCTGCCTTATCACCGCATGGCCAGCTTGAACACACCGTGGATAGAATTGAAGGTTTAGCGCAAAAGGGATATAATAATTGCAAAGCGCAAAGTCCTTCAGAAGCTAAAAGTAGCTCAATTGGTCAAGAAAATTAGAGCCTTTTGTAAAGCCCGAAGGTTCATTATATTGTTAACATCTTCCCATTATGATATCCTGTCAGCTAGTTGAATTCAGTCCACACGTTCATTTTAATATCATCTTTCTATCTGTCACTGTGTTTCCGAAATGATCCGATTAAAGCTTTGCATTTCTCATCTCGCTCGTGCGTGCTGCATGTCCCTTCTGGCTGAAAGCAAAGCAATAAAGACTACTTTGAAGAGAATTTTTCCCTGCGTTCCACGAATTCATATTCTCGGCCTAGATGGATATATGTGATCAACTTGACCTTACGGAGGCCCATAAGCAGAGTCGACGTAAGCGAAACCAATTTCCTTCCTCCTTCTAGCATCAGGTTTCATCGAGTTGATGTTCAGCTACGTTTGATTAATTGGCAATAACGCAGTTTTGATGTCGAACAGCTATGAAATGGACTTGAGTTCGGTTCTTCTAATTCCATGGAGTAGAATCCTTGAGAAGCTGATAGTATTCTAACCTATCTTCAAATTCCCCCTCCTCTGCGTAACGTTCATTATCGCGTTTTCAAGAGCCCGTCTTCGACTGTGAATCTTTGATTTGTTCACTCCAACGGCATGTTGTGAAGAATACGAATTATGGATATGTATTTTGCTCCATTCTGTTAAGCTCCTCTTTCAGATCCATGTATTTACCTCAGAAATCCTGTCTTAAACACTATTAATCTGTTGCTCTCTGAGGGTGAGAGAACAAATTATACAACACCAAGCAAAATTATTGTTTTGTATCTTTGAATTTTTAGGTTTTTATATAAGAGGCGGGAAGCTAGACGGGTTTGAACTTAATAGTAACAAGCGTTTTGCAGATATATTGTGCCCTTAAATCCTTCGTGGTTGTCATTTGGATTTAAAGTATACTTAGGGGCCGTCCAAATAACAGTACTTTAAAAAAAATAATATTCGAGTTATTTTATTTTTATCCTGTTAGATGTTTTGATCTGTCAAGACCATCGGGTGGTTTTCATGAAATGCATATATCGTTATTCAATTATTAAAAAGAGTCAATTTTTACATATTATAATATAAATTTTAATTTAAATTATTGTGTGGGATATGTCTCGAATGATGTACGACAAAAGATAAACGTGTTAGAAGTTAAAATCTAATGATTATGTAAAATTAATTAGATAAAAATGGAATTGAAATTTTTAAATCTTTGAAATGGAGGGGGTGTTTGGGGTATTGGTTATTAAATAATGTAGATGGGCTTCATTGTTTTCCATGTTTATTAGGCACACGAAAACGTTCTTTTTGGTATAAGTAGGTGATTGGTCGACGTGCGTAGTTGTTGGTTGGTATTGTGGGTGAATAAGAGTGGGGAGCTTCGTAACTTATACTCTTCTCCAAATATAATTAGAATGATCAAGCCAAGGAGGATGAGGTGGGCAGGGCATGTAGGACGAATGGGGCAGAAAAGGAATGCATATAGGATATTGGTGGGAAAGCCAGAAGGAAACTGACCATTGGGAAGACCAAGGTGTAGGTGAGTGGACAATATTTTAATGGATCTTAGAGAGATAGAATGGGGTGGGATGGATTGGATTGATCTGGCTCAGGATAGGGACCACTGGGGGGCTCTTGTGAACATGGTAATGAACCTTCTGGTTCCATAAAATGCTGGGAAATTCTTGAGTAGCTGCAGATTTGGTTTCTCCTCAAGAAGGGCTCAGCTCCATAAGTAAATAAGTAAGTGGGTGTGTAGAAGGTTTTTTCCTTGACGATCTGCAATACGTATTAAATATTTTGGTGTATGTAAAGGAAGCTATTCTGTATGTGTTTTTCCGCTTTGGTATGGGCTGCCGGTTTAGTTTTTACGATGTATCATGTGTGTGGTTGAGTGTTGGGCGATGAATGAAGTGAACGGCTATGAGTTAGTGTTGTTGGTACTGTGTGCATCGGCTTGTTGACTGTTGTGTTGACGGCCTCTAATTAGACCACCTCTGTGGTCTAGTGGTCAGAGTTCCTGGCTACAGATACAGATGTCCGGGTTCGATTCTCGGCGCTACCAGATTTTTTTTTAGGATTAGTGGGTCTGGTACGGGGTCCACTCAGCCTCGTGAGGATAATTGAGGAGCTATTTCAAGGAAATAGCAGCTCCGGTTTAGAAAACTGAAATTAACGACCGTGGGGATTCGTTGCGCTGACCACGTGACACCATCTATCCGCTAAAGTTGGCACTAACTTCGCCGATAAGCGGCGGTCGCTCGGTCGGTATAGTTCGCTTGCGGACTAAAACCACGGAGTTTTTTTTTTGTTTGTACATGCTACACATCAGGATGCAGAAAATAACGATAATTTAGATTTGTTACTCTTACCTAATTTTTGAACTTTGCCACATTTGAAAGATTTATCAGTTACCTTGTGTGAATATTGTAATGAAGAAAGATTGCAATGTTTAGGTGTTATGTGTTTTCGTTTTCCATTTAATCTGTTCTTCCCATTTTTCATTCTTTATTACCATATCGTCACCTATCTTTAGAAACTGATTCAGTGATGTTAAATCGCAGTTCTCATTGCATCATATTCCAATATTGTAATCAAGAAATTATGCTGTTTATGGGTATAATCCTGCTTCATATTTAAGAGGTCCTGAATTCGATTATGGTCTCTGAGGGTAACTGACCATTTTGGTGATTTTCCTCAGTCTCTGCTACCAAATTATAAGATTAATAGGTCTACACTGAAATAGGCCATGACCAATCATTCCTTATTCTTCACAATTCAACACTCATACTAACTGATAACATTCGATCCTACATAACGTATGTATTAGTGTCAGCGTCATTAAATAAACTAAGAAGCTAGGAATGAGATACTGTAACAATCTTGAACTTTTTAACACGTGTTCTGAAAGCCGCGAGCCTACTTCAGAGAGACTGAGTGAGACTTATGATCATTCCGATGTCACGGGTTGCTGTCTTACTTACAGCACATTTCCTTAATGACTACAGCTGCTTTTGTACTCCATTGCACGTAACGGGACACTTAGATTACAACTACATCTGTCTCTAGCAGTAAATCTTTTGTGTGTCTCCTGACGAACGAACTAAGCTGGTCTCGACCCTACAGCACGTACACAGCGCGTGGACTGCAGATGGAATCCGGATACCTCGCGCTCACCTTGGATCCAGTGTTTGTCCTCCAACGGATCCAAATGCAGCAACTTCTGTTTTATAAGCGAATACATGTAAAACACAAGATACTAGCCGCGGTTAGTTAACAGTAAGAAAAACAAATGTTTTCATTTGTATACATGCAATTTGTACATGGATCAGAAAGTTAGAGTACGACTGGACACGGGGGAGACAGGAAGTGTGCAGATTGGAAGAGGAGTTCGACAAGGATGCTGTTTATCACCAATTCTGTTCAACTTGTACAGCGAATGCCTTACCAAGGAAGCTCTGGATGGGCTCGGTGACTTCAAAGTAGGAGGGCAAATTATTCAAACTGTGAAATATGCAGATGACCTTGTGTTAATGGCTAAGGAAGAAACTGTGCTACAGGGCATGATTGATAGACTAATTGAAATTGGAAGGTGCTATGGCATGGAAATGAATGTGGAGAAAACAAAAGTAATGAAAATTTCGAGACAACCAACCCCAGTCACAATAAAGATAGACCAAAAACAAGTGGAGAATGTGAAATGTTTTAAATATTTGGGTAGCTTGTTAACAGATGATGGAAGGTGTACTTGTGAAATTAAATCCAGGATTGCCATGGCAAAAGCTGCATTTAGCAAGAAGAAGAATCTTTTTACCAGCAAATTGGACTTAAATTTGAGGAAGAAACTAGTGAAATGCTACATTTGGAGCATAGCTCTGTATGGGGCTGAAACATGGACACTTAGGGCAGTAGATCAGAAACATCTGGAAAGTTTCGAAATGTGGTGTTGGAGAAGAATGGAGAAGATCAGTTGGACCGATTATGTGAGAAATGAAGAAGTGTTAATTAGAGTCAGTGAGCAGAGGAATATCCTACATGAAATAAGAAAACGGAAGGCTAATTGGATTGGTCATGTTTTACGCAGAAACTGCCTTCTAAAAGAAGCTATCGAAGGAAAGATAGATGGGCGGATAGAAGTGACAAGAAGACGAGGAAGAAGACGTAAGAAGATGCTGGATGACCTTGGGGACAGAAGAGGATACTGTCATTTGAAGGAGAAAGCTCTAGATCGCATTAAGTGGAGGAATTGTTTTGAAAGAGACTGTGGACCTGTCGTCTTGACAGATTACTGATGATGATGATGATGATGATGATGATATCATGCAATTAAGTGTATGTCTGTTTAGCCTATACGTTTTGCATTCAGATATATGCGTGACAGACTTGCGGACACTTCATTCGATTAAATGATTGGTGACTCTTTGAGTCATCAGGATTCTGATTTCCAACAGAGCCATTGTTTGCTCTTCGTCACCATGTCCAGAGTGGCCCTGGGGTCCACCCAGCTT